ATTTCGTCACGAGTTATTCCATGACTCACGAGTCACGAGTGATGAAGTGAGAAGAAGTTCCGGTAAACTTGTTCTGGATCATGTAATTAAGGACGAGATGAACTTAGCACGTAGCTAGCTGACTGCCAATCTGCATGGAGAATTTTTCAAGTACTGTTACTGTCAAAGGTTACGTCTTTGGGTCGTAGCCGGGGGATTCCATAAATTCATATTAATAACGGTAAGTAAGGAGGATCTATTATGATGTAAACCCTAATAACTTGTTTGTTTCCAGCTATCTATATATGTTACATCATTCTTGAGAGTTGAGAACTCTCTGGTTCCCACCTAAAAATAAAGGCAAGTTTTTACTTGCATAGTCAAAAATATCGATTTTGCGACGATAATAGACATTTTTTACAAAACATAAAAAAAACAATCAGATTTGGAATGCAAGTTTGTCAAATCTAGCCATTTTCGTTTAATACAAAATAATATTAAAATCGCAGCGTACACGTTAGTGACAACTCAACATATGTCTAGTGGACACCACGTCATATTTTACCAATAGGGTTAATTGCATGGTTGGTCACTGAGATTACCAAAAAACGTTCAAGTTTGGTAACTTGAAATATTTAAATCCATTGGTGGTACTTCAGTTTACTGAAACCGTTCACGTTTGGTCACTCTCCATCCAACCCCGTTAACTTTTGGTTATGTGACGGTCAACTCTAAAAGTTGACCGTTAAATGTGTGACGTGGCAATTAAATAATTATGAAAAAAATAAAATTTAATCTTTGTATAATTTCCACCTCATTTTAACAAATATTAAAAATTAAAAAATAAAACCACCTAATTTTTTTATCCCCTCCGACAAACCTCTTCCCCCGTACCTTATTCCGCCACCGTTCCCGTTCATTAGCTCCAGCACCGATTTCGGCATCGCCCCTACACAAACACCAAAGGTTTTTTTTTTTGCCAACGTCGTTCCTCTTGAAATCCCTGCCGCAGATTTGCGGCTGATGGTGGTGGTAAGACGGAAGGCTGATCTCGCGCTGTAGCATAGGACGGCCGTCGCCGGTGGTGGACGGCAGGCTGATCTGAAGGGAGAGATCGGGGAAGTGTGGTGAAGGGTTCTTCCTGCTACTACTAGTAGTTCTCATTAGCATAGCTAAAAGATCCCTCCTTTTCCATTTGTGTGATCTTTATTTGAGATGCATGATCAATTTCTCGTTTTTTTGCTGGGAACGGTTGATGGAATAAGGTCTAAGGTTTGTCGGAGGGGATAAAAAATTAGGGGGTTTTATTTTTTATTTTTTAATATTTGTGGAAATTATACAAATATTAAATTTTTATTTTTTAATTGTCATGTTACACATTTAACGGTCAACTTTCAGAGTTGACCATGATGTAAGCAAAAGTTAACGGAGTTGGACGGAGAGTGACCAAACGTGAAACGTTTCAGTAAACTGAAGTACCACCAAAAGATTTAAATATCTCGAGTGACCAAATTTGAACGTTTTTTGTAATCTCAGTGACCAACCATGCAATTAGCCCTTTACTAATACATTCGTATAGTCAAAACTTTGATACTATAATTATTTATTCAAAATTAAAAATCTCGCCTCTCCAAATCCTTCCTTCCCTCCCCAACGTAGCTATTATTATTATTGTCACGAATTCTTGCGCATCCAGCTAGTGAGTTTATGTAAGTTTTAAGGCCAGCTTTCAATTATTTTGAAGGAGAAGAAGCCTGGCAAAAAAAAAAATGTTATTTCTATTCTAATTTTATAAAAATGGGATCCTCCAATTATTATGAGAATTAACAAGACAACAACCAGGAGAGTATGAGTCTCTCCCCTTCTCTTAATATAATTTCTCCCCGCCGCAGCAAAGCATAATACGAAGCTAAGTAATTAAGCAGTCATCATGATGATCATGGCGCTTCTCGTCTCCTTCCTTCTTCTCCAATTCGCCACCTTTTCTTCTTCGTCTTCTACTGAGAACGTCCCTCCCATAATTGGAGAAGGCTACCGTCTAATCAGCATTCAAGAAACCCCCGACGGAGGTTTGATCGGCCAACTTCAAGTCAAGAAGGCAAACAATTTCTACGGCCCCGACATTCCTCTCCTCCAGCTCTTCATCAAGTACTATTATTAATTAAATTACCCTAATTTCTCGTGTTTATTTTAATTTTACACTACATGCTACACCATAAATATGGAATTAATTAATTTGTGTACCAAAAAATACAGGCCCGAAACAGAGCATCGGTTGCGGGTTCACATTACAGACGCGGAAAACCAGCGGTGGGAGGTTCCGTACGACCTCCTCCCAAGGGAGCAAGTACCGCCGCCGTCGTCGGCGAACAACGTGGAGCAATACGGCGTCGTAGTAGACGACAACTACACGACAACCCACGGGGAGCTAGTCTTCAGCTACACCCCCGACCCGTTCAGCTTCGTGGTGACTCGGAAATCCAACGGTGACACGCTCTTCGACACCCGACCCGATCGCGAACCCGACCGGCCCTCGTTCGGCCCGATGGTGTTCAAGGACCAGTACCTCGAGATCTCCACCAAGCTGCCGGCGGAGGCGTCGCTGTACGGTCTCGGCGATCACGTCCAGCCCGGCGGCGGGTTCAGGCTGACGCCGAGCCGGGATCGGCCGTACACGCAGTACACGTCGGACTTGCCCGCCGACACTCTGAACACCGCGCTGTACGGGTCGCACCCGGTTTACATGGACCTCCGAAATTCGAATGGGTCGGGGCCCCGTGCCCATGGGGTTCTGCTGTTGAACAGTAATGGGATGGATGTTTTCTACGAGGGGGATTCGCTGACGTACAAGGTCATTGGGGGTGTTTTCGACTTTTACTTCTTCGCTGGCCCAAATCCTCTGGATGTAGTTGACCAATACACTTCGCTGGTTGGCAGGCCTGCTCCCATGCCTTATTGGGCTTTTGGTATTCAATTCTCTGCACTTTACAAATTTCCGAAGGGTATTTTTGTCTTTACAATTAATTATTTATTTCATATAAAAAATGTCAATATCAGGATTTGAACCCGGGTCTCTTAACACAAAAAGAACAATAACAACCAATTACACTATACAAATTTGTTGTGTTTTTTTTAATACAAAACATACACGAAGTGACACTTTGAAAATCGGTGGACTATTCCATTATGATTAACAAGCCCACTAAATCTAGGGTTGGGTAATGGCCAGGTTGGGTTTGGTCTCAAATTGACCAACCCGCTTACTAGCAAGTTGGAATAATTGTGACCCGGAATCTACCCACATACTTCTGTGGGTTGGATTGGGTGAGTGGCGGATGGGTGTGGTTGAATCGCGGGTCAACCCGCAAAAGCAATTCTCCAGCTAGCCATTCAGAAAGTTAACTAATATTTATTATAAGTTTATAGCAAATTAGTAAGACTATATCAATATTTTGTGATTTTGATACTATTAATAATTTATAGTTTGTATCCCAATATTTAATGAACATTAACAATAATTTGCGTACCAATATTCAATATCCAATGGATATTGCACAACACAATAACCAATAATAGTAGTAAAAACTATTCTTTATTCTCCACCTTTTGAAGTATATGGTCATACTATAGTTTAGTGCGAAAATATGATGTTTATTCGATACTATTAGAAACAACATTTTTTCATGTAAAAATTGGATGCAGGTCATATGAGTGACCCGCAATCCACTCACCACCCACCCACCCACAGAAGTGTGGGTAGGAGATTTATCAATCCGCAATCCACCCACATGAATCGCTCACTACGTGTGGGTCGGGTTATTTGTGGGTAGATCGATATCAAACCGCGGATTAACCATCCATTTGCCCACCCCTAACTAAGTCTACTGTATGTTATTTTATGGTGCTTGTTAGTGCAATTTTAATAGCAGAGGTTCATGTATTTTTATGGAAGAGACTAATTCTATTACTACGTGTTGTGTCCTTACGTTTTTCAATTTATATTTAAATTTAGTACTTTTTTATCTTTATTCTTTAACTCTTTCTAACTTCCTCTAAAATTCTCTCCATCGTGCAATAGTTTGCTCTCCTTTCACTTTACAAGTCCACCTTTGAAAATCAATCTTCTGGTATCTCTTGGCACTATGATTTTATTGTTTAGGGATTTAAACTGGGGAAGTAGAAGATATCAACTTCAATATCAATTCATGGCGAATAGAATGGATTTCAATAAATGGAGTTCCAAAAGGAGGATTAGAAATTGAATTTTTGGTTGAAACATACGCCTCTTGAGATTGAAGATAAAGTTGATAAAAATTTGATTGTACAACAGAGAGTGGTGGCTATTGAATCTTTAGGTCTATAGTTTTTGAAGATATCACAACTTATTTCTATCTTGAAACGAGGAATCATTGATTGATTTACTGAAGTAGGTCGGTCGATTCTTTATTCAACCTACTGGGACTGATAGATGAGGAGTGTCTAATTTTGTTCCTTATACTTTGATAGAGTTTATTAGTATATTGGAGGTAACCCTGATTTTGACGTTTGTTCTCAAGTTTTTATGGTCCCGTCTTAGCTGAATTGTTAGTATATAGTTGACTTGAATCAACAACTCTCTGTTTCTTTTTGATTAGTGGCATATTGTTCCTAAAATGAAAGCATTGAACCTTTATGTAGGAATGCCGGGTTTAAGATTTAGTTTCAAACTATCTATGGTTCGTGTGGGTATTTCAGTGAGCTTTTCTACTCTACATTTTTTGACAATCAACTAACCAATAGCATTTTACCGAGGACTTAGTTATCATTATGGAAATGAGATCAATGATATATTTTTCATATTTTATATTCTTAAATGATGATAAAATTTCTCCAAATGTTTGACTTATATATTTTTTCTTCATGTATCATCTCGATGGAAAGATTGTCAGCTAAATTATACGGGTTGATAGATATAAATGTAACATAAAAAATATAAATAATCAAATATAAATATTCCGGCCAACAGGCCGGGTTATAAGCTAGTTATTATATGGGTTTTACAAAGGTCTCCTTGATGGGATCAGGGGGATGGGAAAACTGGCTCGATTTTTCGGTTTAATTGAATTTGAACCGATAAGTTTCTTATAGGTTTCACATTTTTTTTATTATCCCGAGCCGATTTGTATTTCAACGATTTCGGTTTAAACCGGAAACCAATAAAAAAATCAAAATCAAGATCTACCTTTCATATCCGTGCCATGGAACCAATAGGTCTAAGTAGAATTCATCATACTATTAGGGTGGATGGGTTTTGGTTTTCGATTATACTAACCTAAACGAACATGTTAAGAGGTTTACCGATTTTCGATTTACAAAACAACGAAAAGCTCTTAACAGGTTCGGTTTCGATTTTGAGGAAACAATCTAGATAGGGTTTCGGTTTTTAATGTTGAAAACCAATAGTCTCCTTAATGGGTACGGTTTCTTTTTTTGGTGACTTTTTTTTGTGTGATCGGGTACGGTTTCAATTTAGCTCAATTTCCAAAATTTTAATGGTTTCAATTCTGAACCAAACCGTACAGACATCCATTTGTTATAATTTACTTATTTTGTATTATTGGATTGCAGGATTCCACCAGTCGAAATGGGGATACGAAAACATTTCAGTGGTCGAACAAGTGATTGAGAATTATATGAAAGCTGACATTCCTTTAGACGTGATATGGAACGATGACGATCACATGGACTACCATAAGGACTTCACCGTGAGCCCCGAGAATTATCCTCTCGACAAGCTCAAATCCTTCCTGGAAAAGATCCACAGTTTGGGAATGAATTACGTCGTGCTCACTAATCCAGGAATCAACGTCAATTCCACTTATGAGGTCTACCAGAGAGGCATGGCAGACGACGTGTTCATCAAGTACGACGAACAACCATACTTGGGCAAGTTATGGGTCGGACCGGTCCATTACCCGGACTTCCTCAACCCAAAGACCGTCTCGTGGTGGGAGGACGAAATTCGTCGCTTCCACGACATGGTCCCCATAGACGGGTTGTGGCTCGACATGAACGAACCTTCCAACTTCTGCCCTGGACTCTGCAATTTCCCACTTGGCGACTGCCATTCTTGGGAATGTTGCCTCGTTTGTCGGAAGATCAACGAGACGAAGAAGTGGGAGGATCCTCCTTACAAGATCAACGTGATGGGATCGAAAGAGTACATCGGCTTACACACCATTGCCCCTAGTGCGGTTCACTACAACGGCGTGTTGGAGTACGATGCACACAGCCTTTATGCACTTTCACACGCCATTGCTACTCACAAGGCTCTTTCAAGCATCAAAGGGAAACGACCGTTCATCTTGTCGAGATCGACCTACGTTGGAATCGGGCATTACGCGGCTCACTGGACGGGTGACAACACAGGGGATTGGGACAATCTCAAGTACTCCATACCTGCGATGCTCAACTTCGGCATCTTCGGAGTGCCGATGGTTGGGTCGGACATATGCGGGCACTATCCTGCTTGGTCGTCGTCTATGGAGGAGCTGTGCAATCGCTGGATCGAGGTGGGAGCTTTCTACCCTTTCTCGAGGAATCACGCCAACCTCTGGTCGCCGAGGCAGGAGCTTTACCTCTGGGAATCGGTGGCTGAATCCGCGAGGAATGCTCTGTCGATGAGGTACAGGCTTCTCCCGTTTCTCTACACGTTGAACTACGAGGCGCATACTACAGGCGCCCCGATTGCTAGGCCGCTCTTTTTCTCGTTCCCTGGATATACAGAAAGTTACGTGATCAGCACCCAGTTCTTGCTAGGCAGCAGCCTCATGATTTCGCCCGTGCTCGAGCAGGGGGATACGCAAGTGAAGGCTCTGTTCCCTCCCGGATCGTGGTACAACGTGTTCGACATGTCAGAGTGTGTAGAATCGAAGGGAGAGTATTACACATTGGATGCACCATTGAATGTGATCAATGTGCATCTCTATCAGAATGCCATTCTGCCGATGCAACAGGGTGGAATGATCACCAAAGATGCGAAGACGACGCCGTTTAGCATTGTGGTCTCATTTCCTTTTGGATCGTTTGTTGACGGAGGAGAAGCTAGGGGGAGGATCTTCATCGACAACGATGAGCTCGTCGAGATGAAATTAGGGAATGGGGAGTCGACGGTTGTCGAGTTACGTGCCACGGTGATCCATGGGAATGTGACGTTGTGGTCGGATGTTGAGGACGGAGAGTTTGTGTTGAGTAAAGGTTTGATCGTTGAGAAGGTGAGCGTGTTAGGATTGGGTGGGAGTGGGGCGCCTCGCGATGTTCGAGTTAACTGGAACCCGATCTCTGCTGATTCGAAGATACAGGTGAGATCATCGGAACAGAGGCGCATTGGGAGAGATGACAGGGGAAGTATGAGTATGATGGTAGAGATCAGCGGGTTGGAAATTCCATTAGGAAACAACTTCACTATCACATTGAACATGCCTGAATCCTAGGTAATTAAGATTTGAGTAAATCTATATATATACACCTGTGTGTACTACTGATTTGCCTACTCCATGGCTCTGCTGCTAGGAGAGGCGAAATTATCATTTCGATGATGATAAGTGGTTGTTTCATGAAATAATCCCAATCACTCTCATCTTTCAACCAAGAGAAATAAAAGATTTGAGCTGTCATCAGTCAGCTGTGCTTTAAAGGGAGATCAAAACCATTGGGCAAGATACATACATACAGGAAAAAGAAAGAAAAAAAGACATCACAATGCACAACCCAAACTAAAAGGTTTCAATAAATAGAATACTTTCAAGCAAGGTAGAGTAGTTAGTGAATGTGTACTTTGAAGTCCAGAATAGTGTGTTTCAGCTAAACACCATTCTGTTTATCTGACGGCGGCCACGAGAGTCTCTTATGGTTCAAGGAATCAGCTTGGTCTGCTTCGATCTGTTCATTGATTTGCCCGTGAAGCTCTTGTTGTTTTCCTAGGCTTTTGATTGCCAAGTCATCCAGACTCGATTCGGTTTTCCAAACTGGAGGGGTAACAAGGTCTGAATCTCGAGGGGTCATTTGGGAAGAAGAAGAATGATTTGCTGGTGTTGAAGGCAGAGATGCAGTCAAGTGGCCTACTCTGAGATCCTGGAGCGTGGCAAATGATTCTCTCATTGCTGACATGGCTTCAAAGAACCGGGTGCATGATGCTAATGCAACAGGAATTGGCCTCAACATTTCCTAGGAACATAGTAAAAGTGGCATTGTGAACAAGGAAAACTTCCCAGCTATTGATGATCAGAGCAAGATGTAAGGATGTATCATTAACATACCCCCCAAACAGAAGGAGACTCCCTGAAGTTTTGAGTCCATTGGAAATCGGAGACAGATGCTGTCAAGGGCCCATAGTCACTTGCAGCTTTCATAAGCAATTCTGAAAATTGTTTCTGCAGAAGTCAATGGTGGATGGAGTTTGCAAACTATTAGAGCTACTGTTTTTGTCAGATTAACGGACAACTTCCGTTCTTAGTCTATTGCCCAACTTATTGACAGTGTATATCATGTTGAACAAATGAAACGAAATCAACGCAAAATTGTTAATGGCATCCTTATCCCACATACTGAAAAGAGTGCGACTGCGCACAGCTCCATGATGAAGTCAAAGAACAAATCCAATAAGGATTATAGCCTGCTCAGCTAAACATAAAAGATAAGAAGAAACAACCAACCTGATACTCTGCCTCTACAGGAATGCAATCAAGTGAGTAAGGTTGTTGAAGACGAGCTATAATACGATCCTGCCAACATTTTCCAAACATAAGTTTCTAGATAAAATAAACACTTAAAACACCACTTATACAAAACGATAGATTCACATGATAAATGGAGTTAAGATCATTTGGAGGGAAATAGATAAATCTATGTTTTGCATACTCTCAAGTCTTAACAGCTTACAGGGAAAATATCAGTAGAAAAGCTTAGAGTCAGCAGCCTCATTATAAATGGGAAGTAGATGCCATGTAATAAACCATCCCACTGTAAGGAAAGGTGTCTAATTAGGAAGGGGAAATGAGCAATTAGTGTTGATAAATTTCGAAAATCCGTCTCTAATTCACATACAATTTTTAAGAGCGTTGCAGTTTTGCAATTTTTTTCCAGCAAAGATTTCCAGTATATGGGTAGCCATGCATTCAGTTGGACAACTGCATCAGTGTGTTAACCGTAAAATGACCACATGAAATTTTACCTTATTCTGAATGACATCTTTTAATATGGTAGTAATCCTCGACAATGCCTCTATCTTCTTCTCCATTTCACTCACGTGTGTCAAATGAGCCACATTCTTGTCATCCTGAATAGCATTTTCACATCAGACAAAGCCACATTCTTGTGAACCCTAACAAAATGGTTGCAAGTACAATTACCTTTCGTCCTTGAAGTTCGACCTGAAGATCCGCAATTTTTCTTTGAACTGTTGTCAACTCTCTAAGTACCTTGATCAGGTCATCACCCTTTTCACCACTAGATGCTGACAAGCTCTGCACTTCCTCCTATGGTCAGAGAACAGAAAAAATGAGCTCAAGGCACTCTCATCAAACCCACGCATACTATAACCACTGTCATCTCTCAACACAGCTTGTATATGAAACCAATCTCAACACGCTCAAGCAGATGAGTAGACCCTCCGAAATATGAGCTGGGAAATGAAATTTTCGGCTAGGGTTCAGTAGCTCTATATACTAATTCGTGTTCCAACAGGATTATCCTTTATCTACTACATCAAAAGTTACATAATTGGAGTCGATGTTCACTCTTCAGCTGCAATTATAAAGCAGTCCCGAGGAAGAAAAGAAAATTTGTCATTTTTTCCCCACCAATTGAAAAGAGTAGCATCACAATCAGAACCTCAAGATGAACCAAACAAACCCACCATGCGTGAAAAAAAAAACCCCCTTCAGCAGCATTTGACAGGAAACAATACATCGGAAACCGTAAGGAGTTGGAGATTAGCACCTGCGAAGGCGGTGGCGCAACCGAGTAGCCTAGATCGGCGGCGATGGAGAGCGCGTCCGACATCCCTCCGATCCGCCGCAGCGGCTTCTTACTGACCCAGGTGGCGTCGCCGCCCATCGCCATCTGCTATACGGTTTTATCTCTCGAAATTGACTGCAAAGGTCCTAGAGAAGTCTGATTGTCGTGGATCCTTTCGTCGGCGAAGTAAGGTAGCCGTCGGCCGGCCGTTGGAGAATTTTTTCAAATCCACAGCAGACGGACAGCGAGCGCAGCAGTAGTAACTAGTAATCCACAGCGAAATGCCACCAGATCATTGTCGTTTTGCTTTTTCACTATTATGGGCCGCGACCGACATTTTGGATCTCATTGCTGATTGGGCTACGGCCCAGACTATACCATTTCTCCGTCCGAAAAGAAAAGCCCAGCCCATATTTTGACGGAGTAATCACAATCACTGAATCAAGTGAGCTACTAGGGTTATGCTTCCGCCAACAGAAACCTCTATATAATATAACCATCTCTTCTGAACTCCAAATCTCCAATGCAGTCAGCTAGTGCTTTATCTCATCTCCTCACATCTTCCTTAGCTACAAAATCCTTCTCCGATTCCTTTCAATTAGGGTTTCTGATTTCCTACCTTTGCTTTCTTCTTCTAATCTTACTTTCGTGTAGTTTCCCCTGTGAGGAAAAACCCCTTGAATAGGTAGAGCCGTATGACACAATAAAAAAGCAGCGGCGGGCCTTCCGCCGTCGGAACAACCGCGTTTTCGTCTCTCGCTTAATCCGCCGCCCGATCGGATGGCGGCTCCATTGATTAGTTCTATGGGGCGTCTTGCTTCTCTGCTTCGTCCTGTGGATTTTGGTCAGCGATCTCGCGGCCGTTCGGCGGAGCTGCCGCTGTGTGGTTGATTAGGATCGGGTCTCTGAGGGTTTGGAAGAAAATCTATTCTTTTTTTTTTCAGTTCTATTTGCGTTTCCTTTTATCCGTCGTTTCTGGGTCCATGCCACGTCGCCGGTAGCATATAATTGCAATGACCGGCGATGCTATGAATGGACCAATATCGAATTCTCTGAATGTTTCGCTTTCTGATAGGAACCTGTGAATCTTTGATCTTAGCCGATTCACAGAGCCGTTTTGGGCGATTACATTTGATTTTTTCTTCTCTTTTTTTTTTTTAATTCAATTTGAAGTCTATGATGATTTCTTTGTTTAGTTGGAATTACCGGCTGAATTGTTTCAATCTTGATGTCAAATTAGACTGGCTTACTGAGGCTTCTTCCTAAACAAATTGCCAAAGTCTTCAATCGAAACTCTTTCAGTAAAGAATGGATTTTTATTGTTTGTTTGTTGAGTTATTTGGATTGGATGTGATAACACTTTTCCGAAATGAACGAACCTGAATAAACTGAGCGATTTCAAATATCTTTGTAAGAGATTATGTTCTGATCCTTCTCTGTTATTCAACTTTGTTTCATCATGGTTGGCTCTTTAGAACATGGTTTTTTGCTGTCTGTATGTTTTTTTTTAAGTGCTGATTACGATCATGTTTTTGAATGGTATGTTGTGGTCTTGAGATGGAAGTGATGATAATTTCCCCAAATGAACGAAGTTGATATAACTGCGCGATTTTTATCTCTTTTTGAGAGATTTCAAGCCTATGTTCTGATCCATCTCTTTGATAATTCAGTTATGAATCTTGGTTCACTATTCTGTTTCATCACTTAATCTGTTTCATCACTTAATAGTGTTTTTTGCATATGGGCTGGTTGTTAATTATAGGGTGGAGTTAGAAGTCTTTTTCAGTGGATCTGAAAAATCCGTGGGTTCTCTTCATATTCTTGAATGCCCTCCCAAAAACTCCGATAACTTTGAAAAACCCGTGGGTTCTCTACGGATCAGTGAATCTTTGCTGATATTCAACCAAGCACTACACAAGATAAAGTCATCTTCCGGGTTCCAAAGGATTTTCTCGTTGTTGCTTCTATGGTCAGCAGTTGTTGACATTTCTTGACTACAATGCTCAGGAAACGGAGAATCCTTGTCAGTACACTCAGTGGGAGTGACAGGAGATTGGTTTGGCTGAGATTCAGTGACGTTATTTGGGACATTATATGACGCATAATTGTGTTGAGAATATTGGAAATTTGGATTTTTAAACATGGGCATTGAAAAACTATATGCATTTGAAAAGAATGGAGAGTACATATAGGAATTTGTGAATGGACTTACATGAGACTGAGCATTTTGTGTCTCACATTAAACACATATGGAGATGACCCAGTATAGAAATTGAAATATGGATTGAAGGGGGACGAGCTGATCCATGGAAACAAATTTGAAATATGGATTGAAGGGGGACGAGTTGATCCATGGAAACAAATATAATTGATGAAAGGAAACAAAGTAGAGCTATGATAAATTTTAGATACATATTTATAGATATTTCATTAATTTTACTAGGTCATACATTGGCAACTTGAGTATCTATACGAAGAAACCGATCTTGTTGCCTACAACCCATGAAACAACTATAATCACTATTAATCAACTCTACAAATACGTTCACATTCTATCATTCTGTAACAAATCTATGTATTCACTCTCCAACTTAAATATTAATCTTCCGATTTTATTCCATTTGTATCTGTGAAATTAACAACGACAACACCCACCATGCCCTTTGTAGGCTAAAATCTAGTCCAAACCAATAATTTTCAATAAACTTAATACAAAAATCAGTGCATTTATACTAAAATCCTACTTTGTTGCCCGCAAATCAGTTAACAAATTATGATCAAATTTTTAAAGAAGCACGCGAATTTACATTCTACATCTTTTAACTGTACCTCATCTCTCACCTGAATTAACATCGACGTCACCGCCATGCAGTGTCAATAAATGTAAAGCCCATGAATACAAATAGTCACTCCTTCCCCACCTTATATTTTTACATTAGCAACATCATCTTATCATCACAAAAATGGATGATCTACACATGTACTTGTCAACATCATCCTCTTCTTTGTCTTCATCTTCCTCAAATTCTTCAGATTCAAATCCCAGTAACCCATTCTCTTATGAGAACATTATGGAATGGTCTCTTGATGATTCTATATAAAAAATTGTCTATGAATACGTGGAATTTGTGGATGATGCCTCTTCATCAACTTGTGAAAGAAGACCAAGAAGGTACATTGAAAGGGACCGTGAAAGTGGACACCAACGAATGTACGCTGATTATTTTGCGGAGAATCCCACATTCACCGAAGAAACATTTAGACGAAGATTTCGTATGCGAAGGAGCTTATTTCTCCGCATAGTTGACGTTGTCATGCACAAAGATCCATACTTTCAAAGCATTCCTGACTGTACGGGAAGAGCTAGCCTATCACCCCTTCAAAAGTGCACAGCAACAATGTGAATGCTAACATACGGTGTTGCTGAGACGCCGTTGATGAGTATTTGAGAATCGGTGAGACCACTACGACAACTTGTGTGAAAAGATTTGTACGAGCTGTTAATGATGCATTTGGAGACGTGTATTTACGGAGGCCAAATAGTGCTGATATTGAACGCTTGCTTCATGAGGGGCAACAAAGAGGTTTTCCGGGTATGTTAGGGAGTATCGATTGCATGCATTGGGAATGGAAAAACTGACCTGAAGCATGGCGTGGGCAATATGCTAGAGGGGATCATAAAACGCCGACCATTATGCTTGAAGCTGTTGTTTCACAAGATTTGTGGATATGGCATGCCTTTTTTGGGGTCCTAGACTCCCAGGTACATTAAATGACATAAATGTGTTAGATCGGTCCCCAGTATTCCATGAGGTGTTAGAAGGAAAAGCACCCACAATTTTCTATTCTGTTAATGGATGAAATTATAATTTGGGATATTATCTCATTGATGGTATTTATCCCAATTGGGCCACATTCGTCAAGTCAATCCCATTACCCCAGGGACCAAGCACAAATTGTTCGCTAAGAAGCAAGAGACAGCCAGAAAAGACGTGGAGAGAGCATTTGGGGTGCTCCAAGCAAGATTTGCAATGATTCATGGCCCATCACGCATGTGGTGTAAAGATATAATCGGAGAAATAATGAGAGCATGCATAATTATGCACAACGTGATAGTGGAAGATGAGCGTCATTCATACATCCGGTATTTTGATTATACAAATGATGATGATGTCAACTTTAGTGTCTCTATGCCTGCAGTTTCAAATAATCGTCTCCTGGAGTATGAAGAGTATCTTCGCAATCATACAAGAATTCGTAATCACTCTACAAATAATCAACTTCAATCAGATTTGATAGAAGAGATATGGGCTCGGTTTGGAGATGAGGAAAATTATGTTTAATTTACGTTTCTGTCTTTATATTGTTCCATTTAAAATTTTAGATATAATTTTTTTAGTTTATTTATGTGTCCTATTTGAATATTGTGCTAGTTCTAGCATTTTATTTTGATTTTATGAATGATTATTGAGTACTAGATTCTTTCTATTCCATCCTCAAGATCAAAATGTCTTCATAAATTAGTAATAAAAAATTTATGAATTAATTTTATATAATTTGTTTAAATTAAAATAGAATAAAATTTTATTTTATTTACTTGCAATGTGGATAAAAAGGTATTTAAAAGATTTTTTTTATGCATTAAAAAAAATTAGGCCCCATATGCAATTGCAAGTTAATTGCACCAATGTAGGTACAATGAAAGTAAAGTGAGTTGGCTTGCAAAAATAGTGTTGTGTCAAAAAAATCACAAATGCAATTGCACCAATGGAGATGCTCTTATCCACAAGCTCACGATGTCAATCGCAATAGTTATGGATATTAGAACTCTTGACTTTCATATGTTTGGTTGCCTATGGGAGTTCTGATAATTGACCTAATAACGATTATCGAGTTTAGAGCCAACTATTAGTCGACCCTTGACCTCTTCTGGAAGGTCAAAAGCCCACTCATTACCTAATGATTTTGTCAAACAACGCACCGTATCTTTATGACGAACAATATGATAACAAGGCTCCACCCAATATCAATTGGCTAAAAAGATCAAATCTCGTTCCATGTGGAATTGCCAATTTGCTTCCCTTGTAGTGCTTCAAATCACCCAAAGGAGCACAAAATCTCTCATGACCAACACGAAAACAATCCCAAAGACGAGATCAAGACTAGTAGAAAAATCCACTTGAACTCCCTCAATTCACGATGGCATGGACAAAACTTCATTCATCTGAGCCTCGAAGGCTTAAAGGTCAAGAGGTACCAAGATGTAAGTTGAGGTGTTTGTTTCCTACCAGTCCAAAAATGGTGGTGCATTTGCCTTTTCTAGGGCCACAATCGGCATCCAGAGCCATGTACTAGGCCTCCATAACAGACCCTAGAATCAGAGCCTTCACCCATTTTGGAGTCTTCTAGACTATACAAACAGATCCACAGGTCGTCTGGACTAAAAGAGTATGCTAATGGAAGCAAAATATGGATTTTGTCGGTGCTTAAGATGTTCTCCCCATTAGCTACGAGATTCCAAGCCTTATTTTGAAATAAAAAGCATAGGGGATTAGGAGAAGAGTTCTATAAGTACTCTTCATCACCCTAGTCTGTAGAAAGGTCAGTCAGGTTAGTTTGTTTGGTTTGTCCGTTTGGAATTTGGTTTGTAACCTGTACTCTCCTCAAATTAGTGAAATTTGTCACCCCTGCCCGTGGATTAGCTAGCACACATTGTGTTAGTGAACCACGTTAAATTTTTGTTCGTTCGTGTTGGTTTGGATTATCGATTGCCACGCTTCTATTCTGACAAACATCAATTAAAGCCTTGGCGGTGGCAAGGAAGGGGTGTCCTAGTATGAGGGGCATATCCGCATATTCACTAATGTCGAGGATAATGAAATCCGTCGGATAGTAGAACGTGCCCACCTGCCCTAGAATGTCCTCCACAATGCTTCTAGAACTAATCACAGAACGGTCAACCAATGTAACACTCAACCTAGTGGGTTTCAATTCACTTAGGTTAACTTCTTGTAAAGCTTATATGGCATGACATTGATGCTTGCTCCAAAATCCGCCAAGGAGTTTTCTATATGGCATGTTCCAATGCAAAGGGGGATAGTGAAGCTACCTAGATCTTGTTGCTTTTTAGGGAACTTGTTCTGGATGAAGGCCGAGCACTTCTCGCTCAAGGTAACAGTGGCGAGGTCTTCAAACTTCCGCTTCTTTGCATGAAGCCCCTTGAGGTACTTGGCATACCTTCGTATGTAGGTCATTGCCTCCAAGAATGGAGTTGTGATATTGAGCTTCTTGAGCATCTCTACGAATTTGCCACATTCCGCCTCCAAAGGTGTCGGATTGCTCCGGGTCATACACCCCCTGCACACATTTCCAAGAAACACAACTAGAGCCAACACAAGCAAGATTCACAATCAACAATGCAAAATTTAAAAGCTAGATTAACACCAAATGACTTTTTCTAAATAATGTGTCGTAAACTCTCCATGGCAACGGCGCAAAAACTTGACTCGCACTTACTACACCCATTAAAATCCCGACTGGAGCCCAAGTATAAACTCTAGAAGTGTGCAGTATAGGGCAAGTGTTTTAATTGTCAACCCAGGTTTGTCCATGTACCCCTACTTCAATCGCTTAAATTGTTATCTAGCAAATGGTTTTTAGTGAAAACTAAGAAAACTACCAAATAAACAAGTAAAGTAATTTAGGTTGTCCCAATAAGAGAAAAATGCACCCGGGTATCGCTCTCCCTAGCTACATATCAAGATCGATCGAATAGAATGCAAATGTGTAAAGGAATGCTCATGTGTCGTAAGGAGGGTGCAACTAGTGAAGGAACTTCACTCTCTAGGGTGATAGGCCAAGGAATAACAAATTATGCTACGAAACTAGCTCTCTTGACCAATCAGCTGAGGGTTGCCAAACTACTCCCTCGGTACATAATTCGGACGACAAAATAACAACCAATCAAGGCGTCAAATTGAAGTTTGAGGCTTGCCCTAAATTGCCCTAGGTGGGTGACTCAAATGGCCAAGAAATCCATCTTCTCAAAGCTTCTAACAAAAGAGGATTCTCTCCACCTAGGTCAATATGACATGGTTATGAGAAATTAAGAACACAACCCAAGAATTCTGAAAATACCTCAAACTTTGCATTAAACAAAAACCCAAACACATATCATTCAACCCATACAACCTATCACATATCTAAACCTAGGGTTCGCAATACCCAAGTGAAATAGAACACTGCTCCATATCTAGGCTAGGGATTACAACAACGAAGAGAGAAAGAACCATGGTGGATGCTTGTCTTCCCTCCTTGTTGATGAGAACTCCCTTGAGAGATGAAGATCTTCACTCCTCTAGCTTAGAGCAAGCCCAAATCTTCTCCTTCTCTCCTTGTTGATCACTTTCTCTCTAGATTTTGAAGAAGAAGAAGAAGAAGAAGACATTTCTCTCACTAGGGTTCCTCCTCCGGGTTTTTCTGCTGGAACCTAACCAAGTTCCAACCTCTCCTCTCTCCCAGGTGTCTTCTATTTATACAGCCCGACAATCACTATCACGGGCTGAATGTCACGGTCGTGACAATGATCACAAACCGTGACATCGACACAAAACTCAAGTGACAGCTGCCATTTTTGCCTGACTTCACGGTCTGTGGTCACCGTGACAATTGATTAGCCTGCGAGGTGTGCAAATCGTTCTGTTTCTTGCAAATGTCACGCCCTAGGCTCAATTGTCACGACCCAGAGACAGTGACAATTATCCTCGGTCCGCAACTTTTGACCGTTCTTCACTTTTTGGCGCTTTTCAATCTCCAATCGTTCTCAAACTTGTTCTCGACCCTTCTACATGTGCTAGTACCTACCATTTGAATTACTTATGAATCTAAAATTGAACTCATTTCATTATTTGTTCAAAAAATGGACATCTGCTACTGAAACTAACATGTAAGATTGTAGAGTATTGCAGAGGGGTGGGAACTGTTATCTGTTATCACTTATCATTTGATTACTGCTGAATTTACAATTTCTAGAGAACAAAAAAGGACCCTCTGACTGGAATGAAACCCATTCACTTCCTTCAATTATGGTTGTCTTATCTATGAACATGCATGCCTAAGTGGGCGGGAAGAATCTGTTGAGGTTGAATGGCAAAGTGTAGAACTCTTCGTTCCTGTTATCTCCACGAAAAGTTCTAAACTTTACCCACCATGGCATCCCTCTATCCTTCTTCGATTTCTCCACCTCCAAGGTGTTGTCCAGAAACACTGCCACGATCAGCCCTACTGTTGCCGGTGACTGGCATATCGCATTCACAAATGCATTGAACTGCAACAGAAGAAAAAAAAAATCAACGGTTAACCGGATTCCATCTTCAAGGGTCAAAGTTAACATCCATTTTTTCTTTTTCAGAACAAACTTACCCATCCGGCATTGGTGTGGACAAGGCCATGACGATCCGGGTTGAGGTACTCGTTGAAGAATGCGGGGATGGAGATACCAAGGAAGAGAGATAGCCCTGTGATCATTAGGTTTCTCATTGAGTTCATGTTAGTGAACTGCAGAAACGACAGTCCCACTGAACCTGCAAACACCAACCACAAATTGAACAGAAAGAGTTTAGCCAAAGGAAGAGGGGATTTGGGTTGACAAATTCTACTTAGCTTGGGTTAACTGGTCTTACCCACAAGTCCAAAGAGAACACAGTATAGGGCTGCAAATATTGGGAATGGTATGGAGGCAAAAACAGCTCCGAATTTCCCTGCAGAAAGAGGAAACCCCATAAGAGGGATTGATTGTTTTTCGACGCAATTGGAACTGAAAAACGGATTGCCCTTTTTACCAACCTAAGGTGGAGAAGAAGATCATGAAGCCTGCAGAGATTTGGACAACTCTGCGACTTCCAACTCTAGTTAGCCCCAGGAGTCCCACGTTTTCACTGTGAAAAAGAACACAAGAGCACAAGTTGAAACAAAAGTATTGAGATGTAATGATGGAAGAGGGAGAGCAGTAGAAATTTCATGGTGTCCTTACACAGAAACAGTGGAACCAGTTCCTGTCCCAAAGAGACCATCCAGCAGTATCCCAACTCCTTGCCAGCCAATGCCTCTGCTGAGTACATATGCTGGTGGTGGAGTAGCAATGGCCAGTCGAGATGCTGCCTTGTATGCTCCAGTTGACTGCAGCCATGGATTCCATCGATGGTGAGAAGCAAAAACAGAGAGAAGTCCAGAACAAACTCAAGTTACTTGCATTGGAAGAAACTAAAGCTTTTTTGTGTATACCTCAACCATAGAGACAAGGACTGCTGACATCATGGCAAAGCAGTGGCCAACGGAGAATGTAGGCGGGCCCCATTGCAGAGGATATGGGAACATAAACCTGAAAGAACGGCACAAAAACACTAAGCACAGGAAATTGAAGAAAGATAGGGTAAAAGAAGTCCGGAACTTCATAACATTACCAAGGAGCAGTGGAAATGAGATTTGCTCTGTCAGTTCGACAGCTCCTTTGGGTTCGATCTGGCCTGTTCCGGTACGCACCACTTGCAGTCAGGATAATGGAGTAGATCCACACAATGGTGACACAGATCAAGACTGGGAACCGTTCAAATATCGGAACATCTCTAAATGGTCTCACATGCTTTAGATACTGGAGCAACCAAAGTCTAAGTTAGAGAAGAACTATATAAAAAATGGAAGTTTTTATGTTCTGGAGAGATACTTGCCTGTGATAAGCCAATGACTAGAAGCAACATTGGTAGCCCGATTTCTACACATCTTCCTAACTGGAAAACAACCGCAATTCATTTGAAAGGGATGTGAGTTTTGATCTTAATGCAGTGATTCGGAATGTTTAAGGTTATAGATTAACATAACACATACCGCTGGAAACCCGTGTTGGAATAGCCCAAGACCAACCAAACCAACTACAGGTGACATGCCAAGAGGACTGAAGAACCTGCAAGCAACATTCAAAATGAAGGGGAAAAAAGGGTTCTCAAATGACAGCTTTTAACTCTTGAATCTGTCTCCGAGCAACTGGAAAAAGAACTTACCTTGAGAAAAGACCCCATACTTGGCTGTAACCAAGGATTATTTGGATGCTCGAAGCAACAATTAGAGCGCCTTGAATAGCCCGCATTGTATGTATGAACCTCTGCAACAACAAAAAGCACAGAAAGGGCTCATTTCCCTGCATAATGAATGTTGGCCAGAAATTGCATATTGAGAAGAAGTAAGGGAGACTCTCACTTCATGATGATCGGTGATCTGCTGCAACGAAGAGTCGCTTATGATGTAGGCTACTGGAATAACGTAAGCGTACGATCCTCCAACAACTGCTGGCAATCGTGTCCCGAACAATGCTTGGAGAAGTGTGTTGATCCCGGATACAAAGAGTAAGGTTTGTATTACTCGCGCTTTATCCCCCTGTTATAAAGTTGGCAGAATCAAGCAGCAAAATCTTACTCAACTGAGCTAATACTACAACCGAGCTCTCTACTAATGAATCAACGCATTCGGTGAGAGCTTACATCGCTGCCACCCATGGCCGGAACTAGTATCGAAGGTATCATCACACTTGTGCCTAGCATCAGTATGTAGTTCTGAAATGCCAAGGCAATGGTTTCAACTGCAATTTCAATAACAACAATGGCAATAACCTTAGCAAAATCAAACTAAACATTAGTTTATACAAAACTTAAAGAGTAATCAGAACGTCCCATTTCTTTAATGAAGGTCTGTTGACAATGCAAGGACTGTTAAGATTTGACTTGAAAAAGATCAAACCCCCCAGAAAATTCATTTGAAATTCTTCCCTTAACTGCACGACAAAATAGCAGGAGCTAAAATAATGTTTTCCCCCGATTCTTTTGCAGCCAAACAAAATCACAGCAACGCAAAACAGAAAGCCGCGTCCCTACCTGAAGAAACCCCCCCATCCCCAACAACAACATTTAAGATAGCTTTGACCATTGTACCTTAAACAAAACAACAAACCCAAAAAAAAAAAAGTAACAGTTCCATCCATGATGTTCCAGAAACGTTTCTGATTCTCCCACTCTCCACTGCCAACCTTATCTCCGCCTTCCCAAAACAGAAAACCAGGGGAGTGGCTAAAACAGAGGCTAAACCTAACAACAATGTCGTTCGTTAATCCCACAGTGAACTTCCTTCAACCCAAGTCAGCAAAACGCCGTAAAGATTCGAACTTTTTTTTTTTAAGCTTTCGCCATTAACGGAGTGAGACATGCTGACAACCAAGGGAACGGGAACCCCGCCGGAGAAAAAGAATGAAACTTGAAAACCAACAAAAGGTAATAGAGATGCACGTACCCCAAGGAGGGTTGGAATCTATGCAATACTCGAGGTCTTGAAGTTGTTCCATGGGAAGGTGAGTAATGTCCGCCATTGCAGAACAAGGCGAGAAAGATGGCGGTGGGAGAAGGCGGAAGGAGGAAGGAAAGAAGGAACAAAGTAAAGTAGGAAAATGAAGGGATATAAAGCAGAGGGAAAGAGGAAAAGGAGAAGAAGCCCCAAAGGAAGGAAGAAACAACAAGGGGAGGGGAGAATCAGGGGAAGAAGAGAACAATTCCCACTAACGAGTGTGAGAGAAAGGCGAAAAGAAAAGGAAATTAAAATTGGAAATTTAGGGAGAGAGCAGAAGTAGTAACAGCCAGCAGAGAGAGGGGCCTCTTCTCCCTTACGCCACCTTCAGGGCTTCAGTTTAGTAACAGAGAAGGAAAACAAAACACAAACAAAAGGGTGTCTTCCAGACTTACACCCTTACATCTTCCTGTATTTACGAAATAGCCACTTTGAGGGGTATAAAAAATGAGAGATTTCCGATAGATTCATAGAGAGACAATTTTGAATTTTCACATAATTCGTTTTACCCAGCCTATTTGATATGTTTTGTAGTTCGGACCAGAATGTAAACTCTCCTCAACCTCACTCGCTCTTAACTTATTTTTATTTAAATTATGTGTAATGTTAATTAAATTACATAGAATTTAACTTCCATTACATTATATTTGAGCTATATAATAAAGTTGAAAGTTGGTGAGAATCTCAAGTTCTCGAATAATTTAATTATCTTTTACCATGTTATAGTGTTTCTTAATTTTCCCTTTAAATTACATGCATATTGATCGACTAGTCTCGATCTGCATCCCATGATAAATTATCATATATGGACCCAACCACCCACTAAGCGGATGTAGATATCGAGATTCTCACCCGACCTGTCACATTGTCATTCCTAATTTCCGAGATTGATCTTCTCTTGTTAGTAGTGATATTAATTAAAATTGTATTGGTTGCTTATTAGATGTGTGTTAGGGTTTTCACGACTTGGGTTGATGTTTATTTAATGAAAAATCCCACAGGATTCTAACACCAACTCCAACTCATTGTGCATATATTGATATTTGGAAGGATGGGAGGAAGTTTCTCCTCCAACTCAACAAAAAAATTCCACCAAATTTACAAATTTGAGAGGAAAATTAGAAGATTTGGGAGGAAGTCATTTTTAATTTTCAAGTATTACATCATCTTTATCTTGTTATTTTATTTTATGTTTATCTTTTGTGGATATTATGTTTAAAAAATAAACAAATAAGTAGACATATGTAACCATAATGTAAACCCATCTTGTATTAAGTATTAACGGCTATTTACTGTAGAAAATTTTGTCTCGGAATTTAAAAAGTATATAAAAATTGTATTCTCAAAATTTATGGCAAACTATTAAACAGTTAAAGTGAAAATAATATAGTAGAATGTACATAAGTACATTAATGTGAAAGACAGAAAGAGATTAGCTAAATTTAAGAAATGTAGGGTTGGGAGTATAAAAGTTGTAAGGGAAGCTAAATTTGGATGGATGACTAAATATGGGTGGAAGGTTGGAGTTAGTCTAACAAATGATTTATATTAGTAATTATCATTAGCTGATCTTTGAAATATCGAGCTCCTTGGCAGCAAAACTAGCTTGTTGGTTCTAAGGTTGCTAAATAAGTATTCATTGCAAATTTGGTCATTAACTGGAATCATGTGTTTAACATCATTATCGTACACTTTTAACAGTCTATCATGTACCTCAATCGCTTCAGAAACAAATAAATACTTTTGTCATGAAGTAGAAAAAGAAGTTTACATTGTCTTTGAAACCAAAACACAACACATATTCTACCCACACAAAAAAACCAACACATATTATTTTATTTTTTTGGTAAAAAAAAAAAAAAAAACCAACACATACATGCTGATTGAAAGATCACATCCATGGATATATTAGACATTATTAATGATTTGGGTTTCAGTATTGATGGATAGCCCAAACGAAACCCCAAAAGTACAAAGAAAGACAGGTAAAAACTCAGGAAAAAGATGGACCAGTGAGAATGCAGTTGCGGGAATTGGAGAGTTTGATGGTGAGAAAAACTGTTACCACTGTACTTCTTAGTTATCAGGAAAAACAGAAAGAAAATATTATTCTTGTTGTTATGATTCCCGTTTTGAAAATCTGGAGGTTTTTGTTTACAAAAGATTTGATGGGCTGCCTTTCATCTTCTGAACCTTTTTACTCTCTGATTGATGATGTATGTGAATGAATATTGAATCATGAACGAATTTTTTACCCACTTCTTCTTTCTTACCTTTACTCTGCAGGATCCCATTGAACTGACATTTCCCTTTCTTCCTCTGACCATTCAATTCATTTACTTCCTGTGATTCAATTTGTTTTTTATTACCGTGGGTGCCAGAACGTATGAGCGCGGTAAAAAGGGTGGATGGGGAAATGGGTAGGTTAATGGAGTAAAGGATGGGTATTTAATTGTGTGATATGGTGACTGGTGAGATCATAAGTAACTTTTTTCTTGATTAAAATCAATGTTGAAGTTGATATGTGTTATGTGTATTCAATGGTGTTCCTAACCCCTCTAATCCATACACCACATTTTTTCAACGTAAACAATTTCAGTTTGACCATTGAATGTCACAAGTTTGTCTTGGGATGATAGACGTATTTAATAGCTACTAATCCTCTTGGTAAATTATACTTGATCAAAAAAATTCATGTTTGACAAAAAAAAAATCTTGTTACTCGTTAGTCATTCACTTTAAAGCAATGTTGTCAGAATCAAACCGGAGCATGATCCGATAATGTGAACAGCTCGCATTTTAGTAGTCCAACCGGTATTCGACCGTTTAAACCTCGTTAGAGAACTGATACCTTATAAACAATAATATCATAAGTAGAAGACACAAAAGGTAATAATATAATAAGTTAGTGACTAAAATAAAATTTACTTTGCAAGTACCACTTAGTAATTTACTATGTACATATACATAAACTAAATAACAAACCCTAACCCCCACTGACCCTAAGCGGCCGCCTTTCACTCTCCTTGTTCATTTGTTTCCTTCTCTCTCTCCTCTCTCAGTTTCCAAACAGCGGTCGGTCGGCCGCCCTCTCCCAAATAGCAGACGACGACGACCGACCTCTCTTACCCTTCTAGCGATGGCGATGAAGGGAGGAAGATGGAGGACAAAGACCGGTAGGCGGAGGCGCCTCTTCTATGCTTGCGAGGGAGCGGTGGATGGTAACCCAAAAGCAGCACCGCCGCTGTCGGAGGGACTGCCATGATTCGATTGCTAGAGAAAATCACAATGGGTTCGCCAGCAGCGATTGTGTCGTCAGGAAACCACCCCGCGCTAGGGGTGTTCAAATGGTTACCATGGTTATAACCAAACCAAATAAGGCTAAATTCCATTAACCATGGAATACAATATCATAACCAAACCGTCCAAACTAATACAACAACCAAATTAACCAAACTAAAGTTTAATCGGTTTAGTTAATTGGTTAACCAGATTAACCAATATAAAATCACATTATCATTGACGATGAAATTTTTTCGGTTAATGCAACAATTCACAATTTATATAATGAATAAAACATAACAATCAACAAGTAGTTATAGTTGACCCTTAACAAAAATACATGCAACTAAGACAATTATCTTACGATTAGTATAGAAGTATTCACCTAACAAAAATTTATGACAATGGTATGAGTTAATGAATTGTTGTGTTTGTGTAAATTGACTTAGTCTCTTAGCAATTATCATAGGCTGGAAATGACCTTCCTTTCAAGTTTTCATCCATCATAATGTATGAAATTTATCTAAATTAGGCGTTCATATGTTGTGGTCTACACTTTACATATACAAATATACACTATATGAGCAATATTGAGCTTTATATTTTATGAGTCTAAAAGGGATGAACGTTAACTCTTGAGTGGTTATGCAAAGTATTAAGTATGTGTATATAATATATGTTAGATATATGACTAATTACTTAACTGGTTAATTTGGTTTGACTGGTTAGGAGTGTCTGAAACCAAACCACCTAAACCAAACAAGCTAAAAACTTTAGCCAAACCAAACCAATTATCCAAATTAACCAAACCAAATTATCCAAATAGTACCGGTTAAAACGGTTACCACGGTAACCAAACCCTTTGAACACCCCTACCCTGCGCGACGCAATTGAACCCAAAAATTTTTTGTTGAATTTTTTATTTAGTTCCAGACAATTAGAAACCAAAAATCGGTCGGACGGTCCGAGCGGTTCGAATGGTTAACCATTTTGGCCGCTCGAAAACCGTCCTTTTTGATCGTTACGACTATTAGATGGTTTCGATCCAGGCTAGCGTCCGGGTGCCGGTTTTACCAGTCTAACAGACCGGCTCAGGTCGGCTTTAATAACAACGCTTTAAAGCTTGTTTCATCTTATGTCACTTGTCGTCCAGTTTCGTGAAATTTGACCTATATGCGGTCAACTATAATCGTTTATCGTTAAGTGGATAAAAAAACTAATAAATAATAAAAATGATTTTTTTATTATTTCACCTCGATACCACTAGAGCTGGAACTTGAAGAACGTGTGAACCTCGTCATCGTCCATCGCCTCCTCATCCATTTGGCTTTCAACAAGTAACCACTATAAGACCATGAGTCCCCTTCGGCCCACCTTGTCACACACTCCACAAGAGAGGAGTTCCAGTCCACAATTCGAGACGACGACTTGCCATGCCCGACTTGGATTTTTTCTTCTCTTTTTACGTGAAATCCTAATGATGCATGTTGAAAGAATTTGATATATATTGTTTGTAAGGCCTCTGGTCATAACCAAATAATAAGAGAAGCATATTATGTGGATGTAAGTCTCACTATCACCCACTGTGAGGCTAAACCACGTAATCGTTGTGTCATATTTTGTATTGCATTTCTTGTTAATTTATGATACGAGCACGAACTCTGTCCCCGTAGTTATCAAAGTAACACAGCTAAGGACAGAGATAAAGCTATAGTGATAGGATTGGACGATTAAAAGAATTAAAACAAATTAAAAACTCCAAATTTCCTCGATCAGCCCCGAAACTCGGGCAAAATACCCGGTCAGGTATTTAGGGGCATTGTCTGGGGCTCCCCCTGCTTGTTTTCCCCGACCTCCTTCTCTTTTCACCGGTCGAGAATTCCAAGCCAAAAATCCCTGGCCTCCCATTACTGGTGTCGCCAGCTCCCTTGCCTCCATGTCTTCTTCTTGGGCCCGGGTCCTGGGGATTGGGCTCGCATCAATTTCTTATGGTATAAGAGTTGTGCTAATCCAGTCGCCTAGTACCGTCTCGTCATCATGAGCAAAGGAGAAAGAGAAGAATTCGTCAAGATCCTCTTGCGTCGCTCCCAACAAGGATCAAGATCCTTTGTTATCATTGTATCTCCATCCATCCAGAA